CTTTATCCACAAGCAGTAGTTAATTCATCACGAATTTTTGTAGCAGTTAAATCCAATAATCAACGAGTTTCTATACATGAACGTAAACACAGTCTATTCATCTTCAAACAGAGAGGTTGTGGGTGTTGATGTGGATGCTGGTGAGAAGAAGATCAGAAGCCACAATCAAACCCATACCTATCTTTCGATTTGAAAATAGATACCGTTACACAACTGGACGGCATTGTCCTGTTCTACATACGTGAGGGTAAACTTATCTTTTTTTAAAACTTTTCCGGATTCTCTCGAGAGTAGAACAAGGCGAAATTAAAATTCATGATTCACGTTCAAATCGAAGCGATGAATCAAAGAAACGATCCTGTGATCGATCACTGGTAAAGAAAGAAATGTTTCTATCCATACTTTATCTTATGAAGAAAAAAAAGATATTTACCGAAACCTTCGATAGATTGTAATACATGAAAAAAGTTCATTGATACCTAAGCAAAATATTTATCATTGTCAGTTTATCGAAAACTCATGCAATTTTATTAATGTAAGGACTATGAGTACAACTAAACTTTGTTTTTGTCAATTTTTTTTATTCATCAAATGAATCTTTTCATCATCTATAGGAAAAGTCTTTCCAAAAACAAAACAACTTTGAATCTGATCTTCTATTAATGCCATTTTCATTTATTTTTGAATACAATAGAAAAGCAAGTATAAACACGCAAATATGAATTTACTATTTTCGGAAAAGCTAATCATTCAGAAAGTTATTTTTATTACGTACTGATAAAATCCGTATGATGTTATACGAATGACTCAATGATTAACAAAAATATCTTCAGCGAAAATTATGTTTAACAGATCGAGATAAATATCTTTCTTTTTCAAAGAAAATTTTGAATATTTAATTGACTCACAAATAAATGAATATTTTTTTATATAAAAAGCTATCCATCCAACAAACAATATAGAATATGGAAGATAAAAATTATTTTTTCCATTTAGTTACTGTAAATAAATGATTTAGCAGCTACAACAGATATTATCAATCTGTTATAACAATTAAGAGTCATCATTCATAGTTATCTTTAATATTTTCTTATTATTTTATGATGATATCACTCTTTCATGTTGCAGACAACAGTTCATCGAGAAAATTCGTGGCTATACATGCATACATACATTCTATTTGATCGTTATCAATGTATAGAAAAAAAAGAGATTTCGAGTCAAAAACTAAGGCATTGGTAATTTACTCAAATTTCGAATTATTGAGATCTTGAATTGTCTTGGTGTATTATAAAATCTTAGAAACTTTCATAAAGTAAAGAGAGCGATTCTGTCAGTTAGGATATAAATCACTGACAATCGCAAGTATTAGCTCGAAAAAAAAAATAGAATTTTTTGAATTTATGATAGCCACTCCTAAAGTTTTGGAGATTATAGTTACTTAAGTCTGAAAAAAATTTCCGTGATTATTTATATCCAGCTTGATGCTTTTTAACAATTTAGTGAAAGTGTTTCTGAATTCTTATTCAAAAAACAAATTTTAGCTACCTTGGACACTGCATAAGTACATATTATTTTATTTATTTAATTAATCAAACTCTCTTCGATAGATTTATTTAATCAAAGATTAGATAGTATTAGGTATGACGAATATGCCTGCAGCGACAATATATTGTTGCCTTTTCCTGTCAAACAATTAATAACATTGGATGAGTATGAAGTCAACGATGATGATCACTAAGCAGTTTTGTGTATTATGCATCGTATGTCTCTTTGTTTTCAAATCTATTTTCACGAGCAATAGTCTTTGACGGTTCATCCTCAATAATGCAGTAAGTATCAGATGACTTATGCCTAGTCTACACAAAATAAAGCGATACCATGTCATTATTACTGCTAGGATGCAACTGACATCATCTAACAAAATTTTGCTAAATCTTAATACAGATGAAACATGAATAAGTCATGCATTTACCAAGGTAACTAAAATTTTTCTTTGGAAAAATCTAAAAATTCTACTCGTTCTTGTGATATTGAATGCGAAATATTGAAAAAAAATCTGATTTTTAATCAAAATAATAATTAAAATTAGATAAAATCTCTAAAAACTAATTGTTATCAGATTATCCCATTTTCAATTGTTTTTAATATATACAAGTGATATACTTTTGATTTAAGAATATATGATCAATTTAATTTCTTTTTACTGGTCTTATATGCATTACATTATATGTAATTAGGAGTGACTTTATCGTCAACTCTTGGCCTACTGCTGAAAATTTTGTAGAGCTCACATACATTTTCAAAGAAAATAGTGAATGTAGGTTTCAAGTTCAAGTTTTCGTACCTCTCTCTTTCCCAGTACAGACCATAGCAACTCCAGCAAAAAGAATTTGTTTGAATGATATAAAAGACAGCATTTACTGACAATTGTGTATCATTAGAAAAGAACTCTCATATTTTAGAGAATTTCAACATTGCATATTTGGTTATTATCATAATGGAAATACAGAAAATGTAGGAGTTCCACATTTCAGTCCCAATGGGGTTGCGATAACAAGCTTTTTTTAAATGTTTTTATTCAAGTCTTTCTTGTTTTTTTAATATTTATCAACAATCTTCTATTCTGCTGTATGTTTAGTGGTCTTAACCTAAAATATATGCTGCACGAGATCAATTTGCAACTGCAAGATTTGAAAACAGGAGGTTCTGAAAGTGGAAACTATTTAAAATGTTTTATTAATTGTTGTTCTATTTTAAAAGATCATCCTGCTCTAGTAGTACGTTTACGAGGGTGTGGGTGTGGTTGTAAGGTGTCCATTCAAACCCACACCAGCATCCTTCAATAAATGTCGTTGATAATCAAAGTAGGTTTTGTAAAATTCAAGAGTTATCTTATTTTCTCCTCTTTGCTCGCCTCATGTTGACGGTTTTCTTAAAATCAAATGCTAATGAACGACATACTAAATTCGTTAAATAAACTATTTATATAATCTTATTTTAGGCGAATTTCATATGAGGTGCTCAAGTTTTTATTATTGATTAAGCCTGGATGTGATTGTTCCTTGACCCAAAGTGTCATTCTTACATATTTAATTTAGTTTTGGTAGTCATAGCGAAAGAAAAATAGCGTTGAATAGTAACGAACGTGTAAACCACATTTCAATTAAATAAAATTAGAAAAACAATAATTGTGGAAATTTGTGACATGTACAAGGTGGTCCAAAAGTTACTGAGTAGTCAGTCTTTAATTTTGAATAACTTTTGGTAGGACTAAGAGAAAGAACTGTAACTTTTACTGTTCGAAAGAGAGTGTGCTATTGCACAGTTCCATGGATTACTGAACGATATTTTCCGATGATCAGTTGATAACTCTTAGAAAAAATAATGGTGACCCTATGGAGATAGCATGAAAGTTCGATTCTAAGATGCGCATTAGACCCATGTACTTACAATCCATGTCCACAGTCTTATTCCCTAGTATCGCATTTATAGCTTTTGAATAAAAAAAGATAAAAGTTTTCCGCACGGACATGAGAATGAATCTTAAGTATGTGGACCAAGTGCACTTTATAGAATTGAACTTTCATGCTATCTTCATAGAGATGTCACTGCTCTTTCAAAGATTCACTATTTGATCATCAGATAATATTGTTGAGTAATACACGAAACTATGCAGTAACACGTTCTCTTTTGAACAGTGAAAGTCGCAGTTCTCTATCTGACTCCTGTCAAAAGTTATTCGAAACTTAAGATTGACTGCCCGATAACTTTTGGATCATCCTGTATATTTGAAAAAAAATTTTTTTCAATATATAAATGTGAGAAAGTTGTTAAACTTCTTTTAAGAATAAAATTTTTTCACTTGAAGTTCTAATTTAAATAATAATTTGTAATGTGGAGAAATGCATACAGTACTTAATTTAATGCATTTTATAAATGACAATGTTACCTTCAGAAGGTATGACAAAAGAAAGATAAGCATATATCTTCGGAGAATTCTTAAGAACACTTTAAATAGCTTATAAATTTTATTTGACAGGTAAAGCACTAGGATCTAGGTGTGGGATGTACAGTAGATGAGGGTGGTCTATTGAGACCATAAGGAGTGTATGAACACCCATTCCTATGCCTAGCCTATCCGCACATGCGAATCGACCTTTTAAGACGAACCATTAATGAGGAAATAATTGATTTAAGTTCGTATTCGTCAGATCTGACTAAGATCAGTTTTTTTTACCATGTACTGCAGTCATGGACACAAAATAAAGGACAGAAAATGCCAGATTTGGTTCTATTTCTTTGAATGGAAAGCGAAAAGTAGTAGAGAAACTCATCATACAAAAAGAAATAAAAGCTTCAACTGATATAAATATGAAAACAAGAAAAAATAGCATTTTGAGAGTGTGTGTGATAGGGATCAAGAAGATTCATTACACTATTCGTATGTGTTCTTTATTTTTACTTCTTTTCCCCTCTTTTAAATTAATTGTTTTCGAGAAAGCTCGACATCCACTTTACTTGTACACGGTAGTAATTCAAAAAAATTTTTATTACTAGAGACAACTTAAAAAACAATAGTTTTTATTTTCTACACTGTTATAGATGTTGTCAAAGAATTCCATTTTTTTCCTTTTTGATCATAAATTTCTCCACTATTTTTCGCTTCGATCAATTTTTGTAGACCCTTTTTTTGATATAATAATTATATCAAATTTGCTCACGATGAGTCATACATTATTATTTATATACAAAAGGTAACGCCTCATACACACATAAATTCAACACAATGTCTGCATAATTCGATTAAAGGAATATAAATGACGATGAAAGTGATATACTCTCATATTCATTTTTTTTTGTTTATCATAATAGAAAAATGTGATTGATTTGCGTATTTGGCATGCATATATCTATTTTCTTTGCTGGTTGTTATCGCGTGCAAGTAACTATACTTAATTGTTAACAAAAAACAAACTAATCAATATTATTATATTTTAATGACTGAAGCATCGAATCACACTATCTCAAATAAATCTTCGCTTGATAGTGATACGAAAACCTCACCACCTATGTCTGTAATGCTTGAACTAGATGAAATCAATGAACTTCTTACGGTGACCAGCATTAAACAACCATCAAGAAACAAATCACTTGAGTCGCTTATTATTCATGAAATACAATCATGGTCTTCATTTATTGGTGCATCAGTTGTCGAACAACTTACTAATGATATCGATAAATCACCTAAATATCCTTATCTATCAAAAAATCCACGCAATCAATGTTTACATCAAATGAATAATAATCAAACATTCTTACAAAATAAAGAACGAAGAAATTGTTGTTGATCAGCATTAATCGATCGTAATAAACAATACTATTATCGTCATGATGAACTTACATGGCTTTCACTCTTTGGTACTATGCCTGATATTAATCAAATACTTACGCACAATCGTTTTCTTTATGGTCATCCTTGGTTACAAAATTTGATTGTTTTTATTGATTCATACTTTCGTGGTGTGGGACAAGTGATATTCGCCAATAATCCCCTATCGGGTTTAGTGAGTTTAGAATAAAGTTATTTTTGAGTTGATGTAACCTTATCAGAGATTAAAATGAACAGGAAAGAGAAAAATCCTTGTTTCGATTTAGATTCTTTGACATAAAAATCGAAACTCATAGTGTACAAGGAAATCATTTCTTTTGCAAGTGTAAAATCTCCTGTTTTTTCTCTCGTAACCTATTCACTATGTTTCTGTCTTCGTATCTTTTATTTATTAAATATAGGTGATCACAGTTGGCCCACTGATTGGTCAATGGCAACTTGCTTTGTATGATCTTTTAGGAACAATTACATCAACATTAACAGCATATATCATAGAACTTGACTATGGATCGATTCGAACTGATCTCTATGAATATAATGGATGTTTAACAGATATGACTATAGCTAATTTTTCTTTTGGATTTCGTTCTCCACTAATAATTGGACCGATCTTATTGATGAGTGCTTATTCAACAATTTTTCTTGTTGCTCTTCGATTGGATCTCTCACCGTTTACATTCAGTTCACAAATGTGTTCATTGCTATGGTTATTAGGTGCAATGAAATTTCGATATTTTTTTGTTGATGAAACACTTTTAACACCTGGACTATTGAGTACATTCATTGAAAAACCTAGCCTGTCTAATCTAACAATCACTAAATATTCAGTTATCGATATATTTACTAGCTTTCCTACAAGTGCAAGTCAAGTCTATTTTATCAATAATCCTTTAACTGGTATCATTATTCTTTTGGGTATATTAATTTGTTCATCAATTCTATCACTTTTTGCTTTATTTGGTGCAATAACTGGTCAATTATCAGCTGCTAATCTGTTTGGACTTCCAGTCGAAACAATCCGAATGAGTTTGTTGGGCTGCAATTCTGTATTAACATGTCAAGCACTTGGAGGAATGTTTTTTGTTCTTAGTGGCTATCCAATATGGATTTTTACACTGTTTGGATCTATAATGAGTGTTATTGCTCAAACTGTTATATCTGTTTTTCTTTCTCCTATTGGGATTCCTTCATTACTGTTACCATCAATATTGATTTCTTGGATATTTTGTTTAATGGCCGAATCAAGTAAAAATATGATCGCTGTTTCATTACCAGCTGTTAGTATACCAGAAGATCATATAAGATGTTTTCATTTCACTAGTCTAGTTAAAGCAAATTTTGGATTTTAAAATAATTTATCAATAATACTTCAAAAATCTCGATATGATAATGACATATCAATTAAAGATCTTGCAATTATTGACGCAGAATTCGTACCGATTCTCTCATGTTCATATGCTTATTAAAATGATATAAAAAATTTAAAAACATTATTGCATGAAGGAGCTGATGTTAATTTGATTGATTATGACTTACGTAGTCCATTGCATTTAGCTGCTTGTGGTGGAAAAGCAGAATTATGTTTGATGCTTGTTAAAAATTTTCGAGCTAATGTTAATTTAATCGATGAATTCGGTGAAACACCATTATATGAGGCTTTTTGTCATGGAAATTTTCATTTAATTTCATTTCTTTATGCGTGTGGTGCACGAATGCCTGTTAGTAAAACAAAAGAATTGACTTTTTGTCTATGTGCTTTTTCATTTGAAGGTAATTTAAACGCAGTACAATATTTAGTCGCATGTGGAGTTAATCCGAATTCGACAGATTATAATGGACGTACAGCTCTACATTTAGCTGTTTGTGGTAATAATTTTTCTATAGTAAAATATTTAGTTGAAGAAAATAAAGCATCTTTATCAATCGCCGATTATTATAATCAAACTCCTATTCAATATGCATTACATTTAACTGATAATCGTATTGCTAATTATCTTCAATATTGTCGAGATTAACCATCAAAACAAAAATCGAGGAAAATAAATATATCTATCTGAGGTATATTTGTTGATGCTAATGATAATCGAGAAAACGAAAATAATGATGAAGAATCATCTAAGGATATTTCAATGACTGTTGAAGAAAGTCTTTTACCAGCATTATTCTGTATGGCTGCAGCCGAAGGAGATGTCGAACAAATGGCTAATTTACTTGAACAATTTCCAGAATTTCGTGCCGATAGTGTTGACTACGATTTTCGTTCGCTACACATGTCGCTGCTGCTGAAGGTCAATTATCTAGTATACAATTTTTATGTGAATATTTATATAGAAAAAATCAAGATTTAAGTTGGATAAAACGAGAAGATTGTTGGGGCTTCTCACCTATTGAAGAAGCATATCATTATGGGTATTATGAAGTAGCAACTTATTTAATTGAATGCGTAAAAAATAATCAAAATTTAATTTTATCAAATTCAAGACAATATTTAAAAATGAAACCTGCTGTAAGATCAATGCGTCAATGGAAAAAAGTTCTTCATTTTGGTGCATTAGCATCAAATAATGAAGCCGAATTAATTGGAAAAAATGTGTTTTGAGCACTGAAAAAGGAGTGAAATGAGCACCAAATTGATGAAGTGTGTTTTGAGCACCAAAAAAGAAGTGAAAGGAGCACCAAACTTATCGACATGTGAAATGAGCACCGAAAAAACATACAAATGAGCACTGATTTTCTCTATGTGTGAAATGAGCACCGAAAAAACATACAAATGAGCACCAAATTGAAAAATGATATAAAGATGATCAAATAATTACATCTTAAATCAATTGAGATTGTGATATGCATGCATATAGCCAATGAATTGTGATGAGTTCAATTCATATTAATTAATANCATCGCGACACCCGCACCCCCCCCCCCACCCACACCCACACCCACACCCACACCCACACCCACACCCACACCCACACCCACACCCTTCTTTGCAAAAGGATCTTATTAAAGGAGTGAGATGCGTTCAAGTTTTTAGTTTTTTGCTTTTTTGGAACGAATAATAATAGAAAAAAAAATATGCGTAAATGAATACAACAATAATTGGTGCCATAGGATAAATGATCTTTAGATTTTAGGTCTATGTTAATGATTTATAGTTTTCATTCAATTTAAGTCTGACAAATTCGTGAGATAGTTAAGAGCTAATGTTTCTCAAACCTACAAATCCCGAAGGTTTGCAGGACGAAGCTACAGACTTTGATATCTGATAAAAAATGAAGTCATTTATCTTGTTTCAAAGTAGTGTTTCTCAATGTTTTCTTGTGATAATGACTTATCAGCAGTGAATAATTAGTGATGAAAGATCAGCCCACATAAGGAAAATATAGCAGAGATATCCAGACTTGTTTTCTTTCGACACAATACTTGTTGATTAGCCTTGATATATCATCTGCTATTTCTGTAATGTCTTACATGAATTTTTTATCTCTCGTCAACTTTCTTTTCTTATTTTTAGCTGCGCTGACGAAAATATACGCACTACACTATGTAATGTTTTCTTTCCAAAACGATTGTGTATGGTTGTTTTTCTTCTTATACTCTCTGACTCTTCTTTCGAAGAGTTGTATGTATTTTGTGGTGTAATGTTGGTCTTTTCATGCGATGAAATAAGATAGAAAAAACGATCTTATGGAATGTTATAGTTGTTAAATAATTATTGAAAAGGCAGCATTCATTAGTACATCGGTTTAACTGGCTATACAAAATATTACACTGTCACAAAAAGTGTGAAAATATTGACAATGATACTTTATTTCCGTATTAAAAATTTGAGAAAAGTTTCACTTTACATCTAACGAAAGCAGAAACAATGTTCTGTTTTTTTGTGATATTTGATCATTCTTTAACTAGTTTTGTATCAGTATAATATCTGTAAGAAGTATTGATAATGATATATTACAATAATATTAGACCATATTCTCCTTTTGGATGCTAATATTCTCTACTCTCACACCTATAATATGTATACTGCTACAAAGCATATCCACGTACAGAATAGAATAAACTATTATTTTCACTAACTCTACTTCAGTAGAAAAGAACACAATAATCTATACGACAACAAATATTCATATATGTGGCTATTTATTTCATGAGACAGACAAAACGGTATACGACTTCAATATTTTGATAAATATTTCATGAGTCAGGATGAAACAAAAATAGGGAACAATTATTCTATACTGTCAGACACCAAAATATTTACGTCTTATTTTCTTCCATCCTATGCAATGCTTTGCCAGGTATAAATATCATTTGCGCGTCATACATATTCGCACATATTCGTATCGAAACTGTTTTAGCGTTATTAATAGAGGTAAGCTTGAATAGTGTTTCATCCTTGTGTCTGCTGTTATCGACATATATCATATTAGAATAAATATTTAGTCATATATTATTTTTATGTAAATATAAGCAAAGCATACTTCTATTTTTTATACTATCAAGTACTAAAATCAAATCATTTAATACATATAAGTATTCAACCATCATCAGATCTTCGCGTGTTCACTTCTTCGAGATGCTTCCTTTAGCAAAAGCATCTACATATTTTAGTTAATTTTCTGATTTCGATTTTGATCAAAAAACAACAATATTTCAGTGAAAGTCCCAAGTGTTTTCTTGAACAGAGTAAATGATATGAACCTTTTAACAAATTAGAAGTATTTCCTATAATTGCAGCTTATTTATCCATAGAATAGAAGATCGATTCTCATGAGTAATTTTCTTAATTTATTTTTGTTTTCTCTGGCACTTTTCTGCCTATTTATAACTAAATTCACGATCATCATATTAGCGTTGTGTTATAGTTCTTGTTTAAAAACTGATAGTAAAAGTATTATCTTATCACGAATATTTCCTGAATGTGCCAAATTATCACTTTGGAGAATGTTCAAAGAATCTTTTTCGTTTATTCTTGACAACACATGTAAATACTTTTCATATTAAAAGACAAAGATCTTAAGTGCATTAATTCGAAAAGTGTCTCGACATACTTGACCTAATATATTACATTTTAAAAAATATTACAAACCGTCTTACATTTTATCTGATGTCATCGTCCGTATTCTCTAAAAACGTTAAGGCGATTAGAATGTTGGAATCATAATCTATCAAAAATAATAGAAGTTTTTTTATTGTTTCCTTTGTTCTCATTATATGGGAATAACTAACACGCAGAGAAATACATCTCGATGAATAAAACAAATCACAACAATGGATGTTCATGCATTTACGAGGCAGCATTCTCTGCTGATTCACTTCTAGAGTAACTTAATCTTCAAAGGATTCTATTTCATGTGTGTAGACTCAGTCAAAATCATATGAACCAGATTTTGAGAAAACTTGACGTGAAGTTTTATGTCCATAAAAGCCTTCGTTAGTTTATGTCAAGCGTCATGTTTCATAATTTTTGGTTACTAGATAACCAAGATATTGATTTCCCAATATACCTCCTCATTTTACAAAACATTGACAGCAAAACATAGATTTATTGAGAAATCTACATCTTGGCATTACGATATCCAAAATTGGTGAAGTATAGTTCGGAGTTTCATAAGTACAAAGTCTTAGGTTGAACTTTTAACGAATAACACCATTGGAAAACACGATTATAGCCGGAGAAATCTATTTATAAGTATCGCTATTTTTGATTAAATACTAACATGAGCTCGAATTCTTTAGAGATTTTGTAATATTAATGATCTGCTACATACGAAAACACCGTTTTCTTTTAATACTTTTAGCGAACATATTGGAATCAAGAAGTTTTATTGTTCTTAGAAATTCATTTGAATGATTTTGCATATTCATTATAAAATTAAAATATTTGCAGAGATCAAGTTATAACGGGAGAAGTGACAATTGTGTAATCAGTTTGTGTCACTTCTTTTTCTCGCGAAGGAAAGCGCTTGCTTTTTAATGTTTTATTTGTTTAATCCATTAATTGTTAGTGTTAATATGAATATGCGATAATAATATCGAAGTTGTGCCAGCAATCTTAACTAAATATTGTCGCATAAGGCGAGAAAAAGAAGACGTCAATCACAATTTATTAATGATCCTTATAAAACACTAGATTTGTAAAATTGAAAATCTCAGAGAGACAATATTCAGCATGGAATGCAGCAGCGACCAACTAGTTTTCTTTACTTAATATAAAGTGGAGGAAAAAAGTTTAGAAATAACTTTGTTTTCTTTATTTTCTGGGACAGATAGTTCGTTTCAGAGTTGTAACCGCCCGGTCTAGATATCTTTCTAGACCGGTAAAAACCGGCGAGTTACTAAAGCTGTTCCAGCTGATGACATCGATGTTGCGGATTAAATTTTTTTTCTAAATACCTACAAGTTTTTAAGCTGGTCTTTTCGACGATTCTATAGTGTGATTCTAGATATCAAAAGGTCAACTAAACCTTTAAAAATAGAGTTTTTTTGATATAAATAGAAAATCTTCTGAGAACTTTTTTCCTTTCTTTATTATACAACAAAATTTTAACAAGATAAATCTTTTACCATTTTTTACAGAGATGTTCAAATGAGCTGATTTAGAGGTTTCTCGACATGACCTTTCATCTGAAACGCTTAATAAAAACTTCGATTAATTTTATTCTATTATTTGAATTAATTGAAAAAGCATCTTTTCACTATGACAGAAACATTTTCTCATATTTCTCGTATAGTTCTTGGTTAGTGTTCTCGTTTAAGCCAAGCTGATCGAGGAAATACGAGCTCTGAACTTGTTTTTGTTGAGGATTGTTGACCAGCCATGTACGCATTGATTTCTCAAACTCGTTAGACCATTGTAGGAAATGAAAATGATCGTAAATACGATGTACAGTACCGATAGGATCTTTCAAAAGATCTTCATATTGAATGTCAAAAATTTTTTCTCCAGGCGGTTGTTGAAGTCGAAACTCGATCAGACGCTCTATCCAGATATCGATAATATCACTAGTTTGTTCGATAACTGTTTTCATACTGGCTAAGTCGTCTTCATTGAAATAGATATTACTCAAAGCAAGAGCGATACGACAAGATGATGGTAATACTTCATTGAGACGACGATGAGACATAATCAGTGATGCTTGCGGATAATATTTCATTAAAGTATTCAGCCAAAATGTGTGCACTGGACTTTTCAATAACCAATGTATGCGAGGTGGATCCACATCATGTAGCATTTGTAGCACAGTTTGATGATAATCATACATATAATTACTGTTTTGTTTGTCTGTAAAATGCGTAACCAAATTTTCTTGTTTCGAAACAAGATTACAAAGAACAATCTTGACATCTGCACTGTCTAATAGTGCTACATCCTCTTCTAAAGGAAGCAACGGATGTACTGAGGATAGAACTTTCGAATACTGTTGAAAGTCACATCCAGCTGTTTGAAACACTTGCATCATAAGAATTCCTTCATTTGTCATTCGTCGTTTGTGTTCTTCCATATCTGAGCGTGGAATAGGTGGAATCGGACTGATTGACATGTCGCTTAGAAGAGGAGCTCGACAAAATGGATCACAAGCCATCAAATTATACAACAGTGTTGTACCAGTCCGAGGTAGACCACATATGACGACCATTGGTACATCACTGACTTTTTCATTCGATTGTGATGATATCTTAGCCAGATAGTTCAGTATACTTTTCACAGTTGTATAATTTTGAATAATCCGAGTGCATAGAATGTGTCGTCCACCAGCGGTGATACTTTGATTTTTGAGAACAGTGTGACCAAAGAAGTCGAGACTGTTTTGAATGTCGATGTAAAAAGGAAATCGTTGTTTAGCTTCATCACTCAGGTCATCTGTACTTAGATGAAAATTATCGAGAAGCATCGACTCTGCGGTTTTTTTGTCTGTCATTATTGTAGAAAAAAACAAGAAAACAGTAAGCAAGAATATGTGCTCTCTTTTTATCCTTTAGTTCTGCATATATGAGATACCATGACACGTGTCATAAACGATGAGACGAAAGGCAAGAAGGGTTAATCTACGTCTATTGGATCCTTTCGCCTGCCAATTATAATTATGCCCGTCGAATCCTGCACGATGATCAAAAATTATGAAATCAAGCTTTTGGAGTTATCAATTAAACTGAAATTACAAAGATTTTTTTTTTTTTTACACAGTATGTGATTCATTGGTGATATATATTGCAGTGTCAATAACCACTCATTTTTGTTCTTTCGATATTAAAGTACGCGGAGCAATTAAGTCGCTTACCACAATTTTATCTCTCCACGCACATAGTTACTTTTGCGTTCTGAATTTCATCTGAGACAAGAGATAGTAGACACGTGCTTTGGTGACAATACAAATAAACGAGTAAAAAATTACACCATTGTATGCAGCTCATAGATCAATTAAAATACCAGACTCTACTTGAATTGATCCAGAAAGGACTACTTTTCAAAATAAGATATTTCGATAGAAAAATAGAACCGTATGACAATGTTGTAGATATACGAATGATGTTCTTATGACAAAAAAATAACTCTAAAAGCTAATTTAAACATTCGACAGCCGAAACAAACACATCGAATCGATAAAAAATTTTCCACTGATAGAAAGTTTTGTTAAAAACTGTGACAGTCTTCTAACAATAGAGTGTCGGTGTCGTCGAAGACTTCTTCTATACCCATGCCAATACCCATATTCATAAAGAAAAATGAGATTTACTTGATTTGAATAGCATCGATTCAGATTTTATTTCCAAGGATCAAGATAAAGAATAATGTAGTGTTCAATAGCAACATTCGTTGGTTTTCTAAGCAGCACGTCTTTTTTGCTTTGTTTTGTTTTGAATTAATAAAACATTAGAGTTAGGACACTGATAAAGAATTAAAATCTAGTAAGAAAACACGTAGTGCTTACTTTTATAAACAAATAAAGAGCATCGCTTTTCGACGTGGTTCGACTGGAAAATTGAGCCAAACTTTGACTGAAACTGTTTTACCACCAATAGCCTATGCCCACACTCTTCTGTAGTATTTTATTTCAGTGTTAATAGTTATCTAGCCTTTTTTAATATCTCTATCCAATGATTCTCAGCAAACGCTTGTTAGCACAGCTCCAAAAAAGCTGAAATGTGGAACTCACGTATATCCTTCAGATTTGTTATCCTGATATGTCATCTGTAAACCGAAAAAGCTGTTAGCACAATCCCTCGCAGGATTAAAAATGTGAAACACGATGCAGCTGCTATAGTCAATGTTCTAAAAGTTATTGTTTTTTTATGCGTACTGATGTACATTTCTTCATAATTGATATTTCCTTGCAGTCTTCTATCACAATCTGGAGGGGAAAGGGGTTGCATATTTCTACCCCTAGACATTCCAACACTCCTTTCAGATCATGTTTCACAAAATTTATGTCGACTAAAACCGTTTTCATAACTCATCGCTGACAAAAATAATCATTTATTTCTACATTTAAAACTGTTAATTGAAATTTTTTTTTCACCATCAATTATTACATAAATACGAGTGTGTCAGTTATGCACTTAATATGCATCAGTCGTTCTTACGACACTATTACATGTCTCAATTAATTCATAAATAATGATGGTATATACTTCTGACAGTAATAAAAAGATCGAATCATGTTTCTTGTATTGATTATACAATCGGTACAACAGATTAATACCTATTATCACTGTTCATCTTTGATTTTTACCAAACTTGTTTAAACTCTTACAAATACCAACGATTATACTCTATAAGAATTTCATTAAGTTTATATTATTTTTTTCAATTATGAACACATTGAAATATTGTATAGCAGGCAAAACTATCTTGAGGGTGTGCGTATAATTAGAAACACACTTCCGCACATCCACACTGCAAAAGAGTAGGAAAAAAAATCAAAGATTTCATGATATGAAGGTTTTAATGCAGTGTATGCGTTCTTTTGAAGGAGTATATGTCGAAAATACTTGCTATCTATTGAAAAACGTGCAATTATTATCCATATTATTCGGTTTCAGCATCCTTCGTTACTACGGAAGCAATCTTCTCATTGGTGAATGTTTTAAATAAAATGCATTTGCCCCAAACAAGATTAGTGATAAAATTACTTCTTATCATATGCTAGTTTACGATAAATTAGAATTCTTTTGATTTATTCTTTGCCCGACTTTTATCGATAGGTAGCGACAGTGAGAAGTGCATCTGCTATTGATAAGCCGAGCAAAACGAATTTTTACTGAGAGACAGTATACCATATATATGTATTTGCTGATCGACTGATTGTAATTGTTTCACTTGAATGAGTATCAAATTATTCGTCTAAGGTTGACGCACGTTGCCTTGATAGGAAAGAAAGAGTAGTTAGTAATAAAACGATGCTTTTTTTGCATGTTTTGTTGTTCATGTCAATGTTTTGCACTTTGTGACTGAATTGCGCACATCATTGAAAAGTGTTTAAAAAGCGCCAGTATTACGTGAACACCGACTGAGGATCATACAGATATTATTTCGTCTAAAATATGTGAGTTTATTTAATGTTCTACTTATATCAAGAAAGAAACAAATACCTTTTTTTTATGTTATCATTTTTCTTATCTTTGCTCTCTCTCTCTATATATATACAATGCAGTATCAGAAGAAGTCGTGGTTTCATTTGTAACTTCGTATTTGCCATTTTTACATTTTATTTAGTTGATATCTTTTCTGTGCACAAAACATGTCGAACACAAGCATTGCTGAGCAAGCTGCTGCATCAGTTGTTAGTGAATCACCAGCTGTTATAGAACGATGGGAACGAGATTTTTCGCAGACAAAAACTGATGGAATTACATATGATTACATTATTGTTGGTTCAGGCTCAGCAGGTGCTGTCTTAGCTAATCGTCTCTCAGAACAAGTTGATAAACGTGTTCTTCTTATTGAAGCTGGCGGTGCCGATACAAAAGATGAAATACATATGCCAGCTGCTTGGTGAGTGAGAACTCGATCAAGTTCAAATGATCAGAGTATCACACATAGTGGGATCAGTTTTAACAAAAGATAACTGTTCTTAAAGTTTTACGTTTCTTATAGGAAAATTTTGTCGTAAAACCAGTTGTGAACACAGAGGAAAGGGGATTCGAATGAAAGTCTTCATTTCTCTTTATAAAATAAAAAACAAAATTCCTAAGAAATAAAATCAGAAAACTCATGCAAAATCTTATTGAGCTTCCTTCGGTTAGAGACATTTTATCACTGCCAGACTAAAGCATGCCATTTTTCGTGTTATAGTGGTAGGTGTCAGCTTAGTGAAATTGATTGGCAATATAAGACTGTACCTCAACTTTATTCACACTTTGGTTGTGTCAATCAACAAAGTTATTGGCCACGTGGCAAAGTTTTAGGCGGTTGTTCTTCTATAAACTATATGCAATATGTTCGTGGTGATCCACATGATTATGATAATTGGCAATTACCGCAATGGTCATTTCAAGAAATGTTAAAATATTTTAAAAAATTGGAACGTGCTGATCCAAACAAAATTCCAAGAAATGAGCATTTTCGTAATCATGATCAAGATAAAGGAATGATGGATGTAACAATGCTTGAAGAAACAAATCCGACGGATCGACTATTTATTGAAGCATGTGAGAAGAATGGATTTCATGAAACTAAAGATTATAATGCCGAAGAAAGTCTTAATGGATGTGTATCAATATCACAAATTTCAACAAAAGGAGGAAGACGTTGGTCAACAGCAAGTGGTTATCTCTTGACAGCAGTAAAACGAGAAAATTTTGATTTGCTAATACATGCACATACTTGCCGAGTAGTATTTGATGAACAAAAACAAGTATCTGGTGAGTGTCAAATGAGAAACGTCTGTTTGTAACATATCTAGTTTTGATTGAGACTAAAAATTTTTTCACAAGTTCTTTTTCATCCTATTGTGTAAAAATTTTCAAGATAGAGGATACTAATTTTCTCTAAAGTAGATTTTGTCGTGTTTTTTGCCTTTGTTAGCAAAATTTCGCCTAAGGCACATAGTGACGATAGAAAAGGGAAAACAATGTGAATTTGACAGAAATTCAACTTCTTTTTTGTTAATATTCACAGGTCAAACTAGTAGAAATGTCGCGATCTTTTTTTTACGACATTCAATGTAAATAACGTTTCGAAAAGTGTCAGGAAATTTACTTTTCAGAAGGTTTCATCTTCTTTTTCTTCTATTGGATATAGGATTTTGAACGAAACACTCTTCATACTTTTAGGTGTCATTGTTAAACGTGCTAGCTCATTAGATAAAGAAGAATTTATCAAAGGTAAAGAAGTCATACTATCAGCTGGTGTAATTGGAAGTGCTCAAATACTTCTTCTCTCTGGAATTGGTCCTCGAGAAGAACTACAGAAACATCAAATACCTGTGATCGTTGATTTGCCTGGTGTTGGAAAAAATTTACAAGATCATCTGACAACTGTTCTAGTACACTTGACTCAAATACCAACACTTTCAATTCGTGATTGGACACCCGAAAACTTACAAAAATGGGCAACTGAAGGAAAAGGTCCGTTAACTTCAAGTTGTGGTGAATCAATAGCGTGGTGTCAATTAACTGGAAATGGTAATTCGAATATAGCTTCAATTCTTTTTTTCTACTAGTTCACATTGTCACAGATAACTATCTGTTCTTTCAGATAAGACAACAGTACCTGATATCGAAATACATGCCGGCCCGTTCACAGTTGCCGCTGAACTTTTTCGAAGCTTTAATTTCAAACAGGAAATTTATGAGCAGTATTTGAAGCCACATCTAAGTGATGGATCACAATGGACGGTTTTGTACTTGCCTATACTTCTACATCCTAAATCAAAGGGTGAAATTACACTTGCAAGCCGTGATCCTCTTGCACATCCAATTATCAATCCAAATTATTTACAGGACAAAGAAGATGTTCGTAAACTGGTTGAAGCATGTAAACTAGTTGAGAAAATTTGTCAGACTGAACCCCTAAATAGTGCACTCAAGTCAATGGCAAAAGAAATGAATGGGGACGAAGCAACAGAAAACGAAGATCAATTTTGGGAATCGTATGTTCGAAAATATGCTATTACAATCTGTCATCCGATTGGCACGTGTAAAATGGGAAAAGAAGAAGATCCCATGACAGTTGTAACGCCTGATACACGAGTCAAAAGTGTTAGAGGTCTACGTGTGGTTGATGCAAGTATTATGCCAAGCATTGTTTCCGGCAATACAAATATTCCAACAGTTGCAATCGGCGAGAGAGCGGCAGATTTAATTAAGAACAATGATAAAAAAGATTGTGCTAGTTTCTTTTAGTAACAAAATAAACTTGATTAGTCTTAGAGATTTGCTCATTTTTAAAGAGCCTTAGTGAGTTGAACATTTACTTTTTGTTTCTTGTTTTGGTCCACTCAATACTTATAGCTATGGGGTTGGATAGTCTGGCCGGATGTCCCCTTAGTATTTCTTGTATTGTAAGGATAAAACATACTATTGTTCGGGTCATATGAGAGAGAATCATAGATAACCCTGAATTGGTCCGAACGACACCATGTTCTTCCCTTACAATAGTAGAGAAAAGTTACCAGCTTATATTTGAGCGAGTAGGCTTTCTGTACTATTGTAAGGGAAGAACATGGTGTCGTTCGGACCAATTCAGGGTTATCTATGATTCTCTCTCATATGATCCGAACAATAGTATGTTTTATCCTTACAATACAAGAAATAGTAACGGAACATTCGGCCAGACTATCCAACCCCATATATATACGCTTTTCGTTCTGAGACCTGTTACTTTCAATGCATCGTTAATCTTGAAGTTGCAAGCGCTTTAATTTCTTTCCGACAGAAAGAAAGAAAAAAGCGTAAAACTGATATAAAAAACCTAATAGAAACACAAACTGTGGAAGTAAAGTGCAGTGCGTCCGAGCTCAATGAGGGTGTGGATCTGGATGTGGGTGAAGAGAACTCCTCCCACCCTACCCCATCCAAGCCGAGGTCCTTCTCAACAGTGAACACTATGTGGATGTACTCTTCTCAATTTATGTGCAATATATAGAGCATGTTTGAAATATTGAACCTTACCATCATTCTGCTCAACTGGATAGTGGAATTCATTCTCAATTCCAACATGAAGTAAATTGGCTATAATGAGAGTAAGCATAGATAGTCAGTCGTGGCTGCTCCATGCATTCGTGCAGTTCATCAATCAATCTATTGAGCAATATGGAAGCATTTTGAATGATCTACTGAGATGCTCTGTCAACTCTCTCAGAATGTTGTTGTTTACCGAATGCATAGTGTTTATTATTGTCAACGTTGTCCATGTAAGAAATGTACTTGTCTACAATTGAATCAAATGTTGATTCTCAAATAATATGCTGGTATAATCCTATAAGATTAGCTTGATGAGGTTCTGATGAAGTTGGAGGTTCCCATGTAAAAATAAATCAAGAAAAAACGGGATTTTAATCGATTTTTTTGTGATTAAAAATCGATTAAAATGAGACGATTTTCATCAAATTTTAATCAGATTCCTTGAATTTTAATCAGTTTTAATCGCGTTAACGAAAAACTGCGTTTTTCTCGACCTTTAGCCCAGAAATCATACCTTTTTATCGCTTTATCNATCTACGACCTGCTATTCCTAGAAATGACTCAATTTCGAAACGAATATTATATATTAAGAGCATAACTCTGACAAAATAATTTTATTTTCCTTCTCATCGATCTACGTAGTATTCTTTTTTTCATATTCAACTTGTTACTCAATTGAAAAATATTGCAAACAAGTTAACTCGTACTAAAAAGAAGGCAAGAAGAAAAGCAAATGTCAGATTATTTCCATCAAAGCTATGTTCTTTATACGTATTATTGATGTCAAATGCCAATCATGTCGAGAATTAACAGCTCGTAGATTAACTGAAGAGTCTAAGAAAGATACGTAGACATCAGACACTTCTGTCATTGGTACTGATCATCAAATAAAAAGCGAGTAAGACTATCGAATATCTAAAATTAGTCCTCCATTAACCCTTATATTATCTAAGTTAACGATTAATCAACCATTTTGAATGAAATCAAGCAGTTTTATGTTAAAAGATGAACTATCTTATATATACACTATATGTCCTTCTTTTTAGATTTTATAAATCTATTCCTTCCTTCTTGCTCATCGTATTCACCAATGAAATGTTTTCTTTCCATCGTTTTGTTAGTAGTGGCTGTACTTACTTGTTGTGTAAAAAGTGAAGATCAAACAGTGATATCTGAAATATATTCACTTGATGGCGATTTTGACAAGATTAGAGCATCTGCACATATTCAATTCGAATTGACTCATGTTACCAGTGAACCGAGTGTCATCATCGAAACGGAACAATGGGTGCATGCAAACCGCTATATTACTGTTTCAACAAGACCGAATGATCGTTTGTATACATAGTTTGCAGAATACTTTCAGCTTTTACTCATAACTTTTCACCTCATTTCTAAATGTCAATTAGAAGCATTTTATAAGACACTTCGTTAGAAACGGGAATGAATCGATCAATATTTACAAAAACCTTTATTTGACTAAATGAAAGGCAATGAGAAAATGATGATTATCAAGAGTTTTTGTCTACAACGAAGAAATTTAAACTTTTATTTTGTTTCACAGATCTTGATATCAAATTGACGAACGGTATCATTTATCCAGCAATTAAAGTATATGTAAATTATCGCACACCTTTGATTAGTTTGGAGATAGATGGAACATCGTCAATGAGATCAACAAACGTTGTTTTTAGTAATCCTTCACTGCCTTTGAATCTTGCACATTCTGGAACTGGCACTGTAACACTCAAATTACAGCATGAGTCTAATATTGATGTTGCCATGTCGGGTACAGGCCGACTCACTTTATCAGGTCGCATTCAGGGGGATGGACAACTGAGGTTTTCAGGCACTGGGGAATTAAATGCGTTCTACTGTCCAATGAAAATTGTGGATATTCAAATGTCTGGAACTGGATTGGCTTATGTTTATGGTGTTGAAGGAGTTCGTGCCATCTTGAGCGGAACTGGTACCATTTGCCACCGAGGACCTTTACTTAGTCAGATAATAAGTGGTACTGGTTCGATCAGAGAGTGTATCCCTGAAGAGACAACTGAAGGACCTGCACAGACGACCAAAGAACCTGCACAGACGACCAAAGGACCAGCACAGACGACCAAAGGACCTGCACAGACGACCAAAGAATCTGAACATTCGTCATCAGAAAGCGGTCAAATCATGAGTAGAAATCAACAATTAATGATGATTCTTACTACTACAATTGTCTTTTTCTTCTTCTAATTTATCATTAATCCACACGTTTGTTTTTCTTTTCAATCCGTAATGTTTGATTCTAAAAATCTTTTATTGATTTGTACAACATCATTTTCAATTCTTATATAATCACATGAGATATAAAAATAAACCTTGTTTATGTAGTAGAAAAAAAAATTGGATGTGAGTATGCGTGTACAGGATATTGCTGTCACTATTTTTCTTTTTTATACACTCACACCCATCCTCTTAAACTTTTTATTGCATAAAAACTCTCTACTCTCGATTTCTGTCTTCTGCATGTTCATTAAAACAATATTTTGCTAGATTAAAGTTTCGTCTATCTATATTTTATATGTTTGATGAGAGAGATGAACTATTGTTGTACTGCTATTTTACTTTTATCATTAATCTTAAAATAAATCTTTTTCATATTGTATATGAAATATTTGACTGGATTGGAATGTAGCATGATAGGTTGAGCAAAATTCTATGTTCATTACTGATTTCAAGAGAATTAACCATACTGATTGTGGCTGAGTACTTTTCTAGAAAGGTTCATTTGACTTGATAAATTTAGGAAACATGAATCTTTCGAATAGTGTAAATTTAAATCCTGAAAGTACTTCCTGAACACTACTTTAGCAACGATCAGATTGCCTTGTGTTGTCTTCATACTCATGACAATCTGAAATACTATACTTTAATTATAGAAACACTGTTAATTTAAGAATTTTTTGTTCTGCTGCTTGAAAATTTAGCGCCGAAACGGATTTGTTTATCTTTTCAATTTAATTTTAGAAATCATGCACTGCCACAATTATCTCATCAGACCCTCGATTTGAAAAATTGAGAAAAGATTAGCCAACTAATGAGTTCATTACGAAAAGCCGAAATCAGTTATAGTAACTTCTCTAATCTACAATTGCACACATATGTAAATGGTAGTCTTTCATATTTCGCTGCAAATTTTGATTCTGAATAAATATTGACTTCTAGAATTGTCTGTCATTCTTATTTATGTTAATTTTATTCGAAAACCTGAATTCGCAAACGTCTATAATAAAATTATTTATTGTATTCGTATTTGTAAATCATATGTTACGTATTTACAATTTACAAGTTACAATCTCTACATAGATAAAATAACAAGTATTCCACCTACTTTAGGCCCACCATGGATAGAAACAACGTCGCAGTAGGTTGACTATCTTTCAAAAACCACATACCCGGTCCAAAATCGGGACAAGAAGATGCAAGAATTCACAGAACTTAAAACCACCAGTGTGAAACTATTTAAAAACCATATTGCTATAAAAATTATGAGAATCAGAGATATTATACTTTAATTGGTAGAATAGGTTACAATGAAAAAGGTGATTTGAAAGAATGTGGAGATGCTAAATAAAAGCAATTTTCCCCTCTTTCCGCATGCCTATTAACTTAGAATCATATCATTATTCTCTGAGTATTTTATGGGAAGATGGACGACATGATATTTTTATTCACTCAACTGAACAGGATGTCATACGTATGGATGAGAATTTCGAGTAATTATTTTAAATAACTTTCTTTCATACTGATTACTCGACCAATAGTTATCAGTTTATTCAAAATGTTGGAGTAAATAATATTTAAAATGAACAATAGTATTAATATCAATTGATTTTTGTTTTAGTCTTTATTATTAGATATTTGAAAATCAATAGTTTTTGTATTAATGTTGTATCATGTTTTGAAAAATGTGCCTGCTTGAGTATTAAGGATTAATAGCTCGATGATACTCGTGATGGTTTGAAATGACGACGTAACTTATATGCCATTCTAACTAAAAATGGAACTACATATTTAAGTACTACTGCAAGTCCACTAAATACATTTAAGAACATTGTCAGTGCGGGGTGTGGGTGGGGTGTGGATGTGGGTGTCGGTGTGGGTGTGGGTGTAGGTGCGGGTCTGGGTGTAGGTGAGGGTCTGAGTGTGGGTGCTGGTGTAGATGTGGGTATCCCATCTTGTCTACACCCACACCCACCCACACCCACACCCCACCCACACCCTAATGCATGTTCTCTATCAAGTGTCGTTGACAGAATAGTCTTTGTGAGATAAACTGAATTATTTGAAAGTATTCATAATTCTATTCGACTCATAGCCTGTCCACGATATACACGAACTACAAGATCAGTCGTAGCACGTTTTTGCCGCTGTTCTTCACACAGAATTTTCAATAGTTCATAAAGATCTTTCAGAAACATTTGAAGTGAGTACAAAGCCTCGTCATTGGTTGCTCATAATGCTTTGTTCAGGAATCGATATCAACAAAAGTTTCGTGTACACCATTTTGTTGCATAATCTGCAACATATATTTGTTCGAAATGCTTAATTTTTTCCATTTGTAATTTGTTATTTCCATAGTTTTTTTTCCAATATTCAATAAGTTACATTTTGCCGATGTTTATGGACTCTTGTAAACGAATGAGACATTGTAGGAATAATTTGATTCATACAGACTGAATTAATGTATCACCTAATGTTATTTCAGCGTGATTGAAAAAATCGAAAGAAAATGGATCATCAGACTTTTGGTTCTGTTTCCGAATCGTTGGCTGCCGCTTTAATTAGATCCGTTGAACTGAAAATAGTTTCTTTAACCTATGAATGCATGATGAGATATATTTACATTAATAAATATGTATCCCGATACTTGCCTTATCGAAAATTTCAATGAATATTTGTACATCAATGCTTGTTTCGTTAGAACAATAAATGAAAATTGTGGTTATTTGTGGCATATCATGACTTTCCGGAATAGACCTTTCACCAAGGAATCAGCGACAATCAAAACAATTGCATCTTCCATATCTTTTATCACAGACGCCTTACATGCGTCCATATCAACGAAAGATTTCGTCGATGGATTCATTTTTATTTACTTTTCTTCAATTTCTTGATTCGCTTCGTGATATATATTTGGTTCAAGTCAATATAACAAATATCTTTGATTTGCCGTCTGATACATTATAGATTCATTTGATACCAGTCATTCTGAAAAACACGGGAGATTACTTGGACGCCATATCTTATTTAAAGAGTGAAAAAATGATAGTTATTATTCTGTCCTTATAAAATATTTTAGAAATAGGCCATCAATTAATAAGTCATTCATATAGCACTGTCATGTCTTGGATTCTATAGTCTAATCATGTCATTTGAGTAGTCCAGGTTAAATATGATTGAGGGTACAATATTCGACGAATCAAATGCATTCTTGCTCATATATAGCTCTGTAAAAACAAAATACTTTTTCGCAATTCTAAAATAATCAATATCTCGTCTTAAGTACTTTTCAATCGATTCTCTTGCTGAATATCCACTGTAGAAGGGAAGAAAAAATTAAAAATGATGGACTATTTTTCAAAAATGCAGTGTTCCAAAAGTCAGATGGAAAAAATACACATGAATAGTTTTTCAACAGTTCGAAGGGTTTACATCATTTTTTTTGCAATTGAATTTTATATTCATTAAAGTTTTATTTAATATATTTCAGATAAAATGTTTCTGTCTACAGAAGTCAAAACTACAATAGTTTTACTCGTGATCAGATTCGAATCCGTTACTACTGTAGAACGAAAACTGCATGCTGTTTCAGAAAATAACATGCCAACTGAATATTGCCTTAGGATCACACTTCAACAATATAGTGAAATGAATACTATCGAAGATCGACAACGTTCTTGAAGGCCTACAGTAATTACTTAGCAGTCATCCTATTCCGCAATGTTCAACATTGCGGAATCAGTTCCATCTAATTCCGGGAACTCGATCATCATTCGGCATAATAGACCTACACCACACCGATCGAGTTCCGCCAATTCTCGGAATGGCGGGAACTGATTCTCGACGGAATTACTCCCATTCCTCAGAAGTTCCTTCCACTTCCGGAATACCTAGGAAATCCGTGTAATTCCGGAATCGGAAGGAATTGCCGGAATTCCGAGTAATTCCGGAATTGGAAGGAATTCCCGGAATTCCGGAATCAGAAGGAATTCCCAGGAATTCCGTGTAATTCCGTCTTCACTGAATTCCCGAAATTCCGTACTGGAATTAGTAACTTATTAAAGGGACTAACATTCAAACACAACACTCTGAGTGAGGGTGAGGGCAAGAAGTAGTTTCGGTACGGAATTCCCGGAACTGAGTGGAGACAGAATTGCACGGAATTGCGGAATTGGAAGGAATTCCCGGAATTCCGAAATCAGAAGGAATTCCCAGAATTTCGGAATCAGAAGGAATTCGCAGGAATTCTTTCGAATTCCGGAATTACACGGAATTGCGAGTAATTTCAGAATCAGAAGGAGTTCACGGAATTCCGGAATCAGAAGAAATTCCTAGGAATTTCCTATAACTTCATCTTCACCCAATTTCCGGAATTCCGGAAATCGACGGAACTCGATCAATATCGATTAAGCCTGTTCTATAGAATCATGATCGAGTTCCCGGAATTGAACGGAACTGATTCTGGGGGCGGAACTAATTCCGAAATGTTCAACATCGCGGAATAGGATGTATTCTCTAATTACTGAAGAAAGTGAATGAAGTTAATAATAGTCATGAAAAGAGGCGTGGGCCAGGCATTCGATCAATCGCACAAGCTCGCTCAATACCACGAACAACAACCCATCGAATTATGACGGAAAATCTCTTACTAAACCCATACAAGACATAATTTATTTCACAGCTCTACGCAAAAGAGTTACATAGACTGAACATCTGATTCTGGCTCATTTTCATGAGCATCATACACTTTGTTGACTTTTTCCTCAGTAATTATTGTTGGTTTTCCAAAACACAATCGATCTTCCACAGTATTCATTTCACTAAATCGTTGAAATATGATCCTAAAGCAATATTTAGTTGGCGTGTTTTTTTCTAAGTCAACATATCGTTTTCGTTTTACAGCACACTGTAAAAAAAATGAGTGAAGAATAATAAATCCTTGCAATCTATTTATTATCATTAGATAAACT